TCATAGAACATCATCTATTTAAACCATGTCCTTAAATACAGAATTGGTTTTTACCAAAATAGTGTGTCCTTTTCATAGTGTTTCAAAACACACTTATTTAATATGGAGGCTGAAAAGACAGCTCAGTGGTTAAGAATGCATGTAACTCCCAACACCCATGTCAGGTGGTTCATAACTGCCTATAACTCCAACTCTAGATCAGTCACCCTCTTTTGGACTCCATGGATACCTGTACTCATGTGCACACACCCACACACAAACATACAAATAATTTAAAATAATAAAAAATTTATAATGTGTTTACTATTAATATATTTTCAACACAAAAATTTGGAAAATTCCAAAGAACTGAAAACTTAAAACTCTTTAATAATACTTCTATCCAGGGATACTGTCTGTAATTTTTAATACGTTTCCTTCTGGCCTCTTTTGGTTCTCTTCCAATGTGCATGCGGATTAACCTCAATAACACACTGCTATCAAGATTGTGTAAGGAGTTTTAAGTTCTATTTTACTTCCTACTTGCATCACATAATGACATTTTTCTATCAGGGATATCAGTATATGTCTATAGACTGGTAATTCTGGTCCTGAGCTTAATAATAATTCACTGATGAGTTTGAAATAAAAAAGCATATTATTTTCAAAAAGATAACATGTTCTCACACACAGGCTTCATGCTGATTTCTTTATTACAAAGTTTAAAACCCAGTGGAAAGAAAGTTTGTTCACATTTCATCATACCGTCTCAACATTCCTGAAGTGAATTGTGTCTCCCAATAGAGTCAGAAATGGGTGGAATCAGAGGCTAAAACGTAGAAATATAACTTTTAAAGCTAAACCTATTAATAAAAAAGTAGGTAGCATAATCAAAAACATATACCTAAGGTCCTTTAAGTAAGCCTTCCCCCTCTAATTTTTAGAAATTTTCTTTAAAATTAGTTATATTTCTAATAAAGAAATCAGTAGTATTTATAATAAATAAAGGATTTTAAAGTGTTTTTAAAATTTATTTTTATTTTTTGTGAGCCAGGAAAAACTAAATGATAAGGATTAAAAAATGCATATTTATTTATTTTATATGTATGAGTGTTTTGCCAGCATATATATAAGTGCACCCATATTATGCAATGCCTACTGAGGCCAGAAAGGATGCTGGATCCCCTAGAACTGGAGTTACAGACAGGTGTTATCTGCCATATGGGTGCTGGGAACTGAACCCTGGTCCTCTGGAAAAAGTCAGTGCTCTTAACTGCTGAGCCACCTCTCCAGCCCCTAAATAAAGGTTTTTAATAGTGCCAAAAGATTTAAACAATGAAGAAATTATTAAACATTTCTGTGCTTTGTTTCTACGTCTTTAGGTTGAAGTCAGACTATAAAATAAAGACATGGGGGTCCTTCTATCAGTGCCCAGCACTCTGATAAAGATACTCTTTCTTGATCACCATCAAATGGACTCAAACAATTAAGATGAGTATTTGTATCAAGTTCTTATTATGTTCAGCAACACCAAGTAGCATCCCTGGGCAGAGGCTGATGCCTGGCAGTCACTTGTGCTTTAGAGGATCTCAAGGGGAGGGAACAGAGACAAGAAAGAAACATACTAAGTGCTAGACTCTGCAAGGAATTACAAATCTTAATCTTCATAATCAAAACCATTAGCATTTGTTTAACAATATCTGAATGCTTTAAGCTGAAGGCTGGAAATGGGGAAGGAGGCAATGACATATCATCTTTCCCTTTTGTGCACTATTTTCATTTTTAAATCACATATGTTGAAAAATTATAATTATTCTTGTAGCCCCCATGACCTACATTATGGTAATGGTGACATAATCACCAACTTTGCACAGAAGGAAGCCAAGACATAACAATAGTAAGATTTTTGGGGGTAGGCACACAGTGGAGCTAATACTTGCCTTTGAAAAGAACATTGTCTTAGACAACATAGCTCGTATGGAAAGGAGAAAAAAGTTTCAAGAGTTCATTCTCAGTAATTCCATTTTCTCACTAACGTGAAGTTGGGTGTCCACTAAGAAAATCCAAACAAACTAGGATAAGATAAAGGATTTGAGGAAAGGGATTAAAAAATAAAAGAAACCATAATCATGAGCTTGGGGAAGGAAGCTGACTAGGGCTAAGAAAACGGATTGCTCAGCAAAGACAAGGGCCTGCTAAGATTGGAACTCATAAATTTGTTATGGAGCCAATCTGCACAGTTATATAATTTTCCCCAGCAGTGCCCAAAGACGAGAAGCAGTTGATTCAGGGTTAGCAGGACAGAGTGGTATTAAGCATGATCTTTAAAAGTCTTGAGGATACTTGCAGTTTCAAAGCAGGTAAAATATGGCTGGCTTCCATCCCTTCTAAGGACACATTTAAAATAAAAGCAAACCAGGATAAAAATTAATACACACATAGCAGTGACACCAAACCTCATGAAAATGGCAAGCAGATAGTCATGGGTTTATTGGCAAAGGGCAGAGGCTACCTTGAAGGATGAGGAACCAACCTGTCCAGAGGAATCTCTACAAGGGCTGGAGAGATTGCTCAGCAGTTAAGAGCACTGGCTGCTCTTACAGAA